GATGGATGGATGAGTGGAGGGATGGATGGATGGATGAGTGGAGGGATGGATGGATGGGTGGGTGGATGGATGGGTGGCTGGCTGGCTGGCTGGCTGGATTGATGGGATACCCTGGTGGTTTAGAAAGCTCTGGAAGCTGTGGATACCAAAATATGAGATGAGATGGGGCAGCTAAAGTATTTCCTTGGCACCTAGGAAATTAACTCTGGAGAAAGTCTGTTGTCATTTCACTCTCCAAGGTCAGACCTGGGTGGTCCAGGTTGGGTAGCAACTCCTTCACCAACTGGGTCCACTTAGACTTTATGCTTCGAGAGATATTTTCGCCCTTTAGTCTGTATTTTTCCTTTTTTGTTTTAGAGAGAATGAGAGTGTGCGAGAGTGAGGGGATGGGGGAGGGGCAGAGAGAGAGGGGAGGGAGAGAGAGAGAGAGAATCTTAAGCAGGCTCCAAGCCCAGCTCTGAGCCCAACACAGGGCTTGATCTCACGACCCCGAGATCATGACCTGAGCCAAAATCAAGAGTTGGACACTTAACTGACTGAGCCACAGTCTGTATTTTTTATCTTTATCATCATCATCATCACCCAATCCTAATAACCATCCACTGTTTACTTGTAGACTCATCTGCCAGCCATTGTACTAAACATAATACAAATGTTATGTTATTGGATATTTATAACAGCCTTACACACTGGATGTTAGTATCATTCCCATTTTACAGATAGAAAAACAAATTAATAGCTTTCCTGGCAGAAAACTTGGATCAGTGGTGCCAAAGGCGGCCTCTCATTTTTCTTAAAGGCTTAAGCAACAGGAGTCAGCTAACCAAGGCTTCCATTTAGGATGAGATTAGTGACAGGTATTCAGTTTTAGAGGTATGAAGAATTTATTTTTTTTAAAGATTTTATTTATTTATTTGAGAGAGGGAGAGAATGAGAGAGAGAGAAAGCACATGGGGGGGGGGTCAGAGGGAGAAGCAGACCCCCTGCCGAGCAGGGAGCCCGATGCGGGACTCGATCCAGGGACTCCAGGATCATGATCTGAGCCGAAGGCAGTCACTTAACCAACTGAGCCACCCAGGCACCCGGTATGAAGAGTTTAGAGTCAAAATGTCCTCCTTTGAGACAATGTCACCTTGCACTTCCCCAAAGAGTTGCCAGGCTTCCAAAGGATTAAAAAAAAAAAAAAAAAAGCCCAACTAATTGTGACCTGGCTTTGTCTTTTTCTTTTAGAGTTTATGTCAGTCGGAAGAATACACACTGTGGCAGATGCTTCCTGTGTGCCCTGTGTGCATCCCTTTGGATTCCCTTATCATTTTTGTGCAAGCCAGCCTAACTTCCGACAGCTGACATTCTTGCCAGAAGGCACCCATAGCCTGCTTAGAGGTTTCATATTAAAAAACTCTATACAGAGAGGTGGGAGCTTTAGATTTGCCCTCAATCTTCTTACCCTGCAGGGATTTGATAGTCCTCTCTAACAATGATTTGAATGTCCAGTCATAGACTCAACTTTGACTCCCCCCATTAGTCTCACTCAGTGGTTCTCAAAGGGGAGTCCCAGGACCAACAGCATCAGCACCAGTGGGCTCGGAACTTTTCAGGAATGTATCTTCTGGGCCCCCACCCCAGATCTGACGAAGCTGAGACTCAGAGCTGAAATGCAGTAACCTGTTTTAACAAGCCCTCTACCTGAGTCTGATAAGTGCTCAGGTGTGAGAACCACTGGTCTCGTTGATTGTTTTGGAATGTCTATGCACGTTTCCCCAATTTTTCTTGTCTTCAGTCTTGTGGCCCTGGTAGGGCACTGGATTCCTCTCTGAGATGGAAAAGTTAGACCTGGGGCCCCTTGGAGTGCAGAGGGGAAGCAAGGAGGGATGCAAGAAACAGTGCTGAATCACGCCGCAAGAACATTATTAGGCTGTCTCCAATTCGCCTTCACTTTGCATCCGGGAGAAGGTTTCTGGAGCTAACACGTCTTTACATTTCTCTACCACATGCTAACCACAGTCCCAGATTTGGAAAGGCGACACTATCGACAGGCAATTTAATAAATGTATTTTTCCATCTGAACATCTCTCTCTCCTTTTTTTTTTCCAGTTGCCTCATATTAATGGAAGTGAGGCTGATTTTCCACTCATGGTGACAGGATACACTTTCATCTTTAAAGCCATAAGGAGTAAATAAATAAAAGTAAGGCTGCTACACAAATATGACAAAATCGTGACAGGGTGGTGAGCGAGTGACTGAATTAGGTGGGGACAAGCTGGCTTACATAATTTGGAATTGTCAGAAAGAAGTGGCAGTTCTAGGCATCGAGAGTCTAAGTCTTACTGGTTGAAAAATAGTAAGAGGTACTATTGGTCACGAATGTCACAAAGGCACTGTGACTCAGAGAAGAACAAGAGCTTTCACTTATGCAGTGCTTGTGAAGTACCAGGCAACACCCCCTGGGGCTTTACACAATTTATATAATCCTTGCAACAATCCTAAACAGTAACAACTATTGTTATCCCCATTTTACGGAGTGAAAAACTGAGGCTCGGCAAATTTGGATAACTTGCCGAAGGTCAAATAGCCAGTAAGAGACAGAGGCCCCAAGCCCAGCTCTAACCAGCATGCAGATGCCTCCAAAACCTCCACTCTTCTTCCTTTACATCTTGGGGGTGGCGGTGAATGAACGGGAAGCTTCCTGGGATCTGTAACCAGCAAAATCAAAAGGTCCTCCTTTGAGATAAGCCTAAGATGTCACTTTGCTCTTCCCCCTACGGCTGCCAGACTTCAGAAGGATAATAAAAATCCCACCTTACTGCCAATTTGTTTTTTCCCTTTTTCTAAAGATTTTATTTATTTATTTGAGAGAGAGAGAGAGAGAGGAGAGCACAAACAGGGGGAGGGGGAGAGAGAGGGGGAGAAGAAGACTCCCCATTGAGCAGGGAGCCCGATGCAGGGGCTCGATCCCAGGACCCTGGGATCATGATCTAAGCCGAAGGCAGATGCTTAACTGACTGAGCCACCCAGGCGCCCCTGTCTTTTTCTTTTCTAAAGCCCACAGACTCTCTGACCTACAGGGAAGGTCCCAGCCCCCATGGAGGTCATGGATATTGCATCCAAACCCCAATGGGAAGTTCTACTGAATATACAACTAGTCTCTCAATCATTCTGCAAAACACTTAACTGGGCTCTGGGACAGGGCAGGTGAAGCCGCTACGTTTATGGGCAGGGATAAAACACATGTACACAAAGGACAGATCGTTGCAGGTGTGGCGAGACGGAGAAAAAAATCACACGGGGAAACGGGATGGAGAGTATGGCAGTGGGAGGGGGAGAGCTTCGAGCCAGAGCAGAAGTGTGGGGGCAGGAACAAGCTTGGTGGGGTCAGGCGTCAGAGGTTAAAGGCTGACGAGGCTGAAGTAAAGAGAACAAAGCGATAAAGACATGAGGAAGGGGAGGAAGGCGCGTACAGGGCCCCCGGCAACCGGGGCAAGGAGTCCCTGTTTGATTCTGGAGGCTCCGGGAGGCTCGGGACAGCTATGACAAGTCAGACTGATGCTTGGGAAGCCCTCAGTTGGGGAATCTGCTGATGCCAAACGAGAATGGGACCAAGAAGTGTCTGCACTCATCGCTGTTTGAAACAGCTTGGTTCCCCCCTGGAAGCTTCCAGAAAGAAATTTTTCCTTTCTGCCTCTCCCGCCTACGAGTCTTCTCTAACAAGCCCAGCTGGAAGGGGGGACGTGCAGATGTGAAGAAGCCTGTTCGCTCTCGTGGGCAGCACTCTGAATCGGGGGCGAGTAGTTTCTCGAAACCTCTGGACCCCGCCCGAACCAGGATGGGGCAGGCAAAGCCTCCCGGGACCTCGGTCACCTCCTGCCTCCCCCTGGCGCTTTCCTCTCCGGGATCCCTTGTTGCCTGTCTTCTGCAGTTGTGGAAAAGCCTTCCTTCATCTTTGGCCAAAGGGTGGGAGATGGAACGCTTGCCCTTCCAGGAAGCATTTCAAAGGGCAGCCCTGGGGATGGGGCCACAGCCACTGCTCATACAGAAAAGCCCAGAGAACTATCTTTCATGCTAAGACACTTAACCCTTTGCATGGAGGCTCGTATGTCAAGAACTAGTGCCCGCATGTCCAGGATCTGCTAATTGAGTTGGCAGGATTAGCCTAGCGCTGAAATCACACAGACCCTGGAGGGGTGGGGAAGAGGGACCAAGATGAGGCTTTTGCACGATGCAGACACACCATGCCCCACTTACAAAGAATCGTTTTTCCAGCAGGAAACACACAGGATTCCACTCAAATTAGACATTTCCTTTCACTGCCCATAGAAGAGCAAGCTAGGACCACACACTGTAAAATCGACCACCTGCTTCCGAATCTGATACCCCCGTCCCCAGGCTTCCCTCCTCCACCCCGAGGTTCTGATTTGGTCTGTGCTGGGAATGTGGGTTTTTGGCAAGCGCATGCTGGCACTCCAGAACCACTCTAGGAGGAGAACATATTCTACTTCCCAAATGAGAGATGTCTAGAAGCCTAGATCTTCCAGAATTCCAGCATTCTCCCCCACCAAAAAAAGAGAAATGGGGTCAGGAGAGTATGGAGAAGGAATCTGGGTTCAAAGCCTGATACCACCTCTTCCTG